TGAAAAAGCAGTTCATTTTTTTCTTTCTTTTATTTAACCAGTTCATACTTAATTTCTACCTACTTTGTTTTACTTAATCGAAAACAGGAATAACTGTTTTGACTCTTGACATTTACAAAATTGTTTTACCTTTTTGTGCTATTTATGAGCATTTTAAACTGTTCACTTTTTTAAAAAGTTTGGTTTGTCAATGTTAATTGTTAAAATGTTTACCTTTGGTTCAAAAAGCTTGACAATTAAATACAAAGTTAATTCTTCATAAGTTGTCATCACAAAAATGTTTAAAAAAGTTAGTTCTCTCTCCGAAGTACGTGCAACATAATACGCATAGGTACCTAGGCAAACTTACCTACAACAGGACCAATCCTGTATTTTATTAATATGACTCATACAAATTACAATAACTATCCATCTGAAAAATATAACAAAAATAATAAATATAAATAAATAAATAATAATAATGCAAAATATCATAAAAAATGTATATAGGGTTCCACAGTAAAAACTATTTACAACAAAATCCACAACATTAGAAATCTTACCACCAAAAATAATGCAAATTTTATTGCCCAGAAACTATTAAATATAGACACAATAAATTATATACAGGAAAAACAGAAATTTAAAACAAAATAGGTAATACTAAGTTGTAGCAAAAATCAAACTTATAAAATCTTAACATATATCAAATTGTGCAAAACACTAATTGAAAAATAAACAAAATATATATTTTAACATAGAAATATAACTGAACATTTGTATTTAAATTATATAAATACTTACTGTAATATTACACTAATACTTTTCCACTTTTAAATTAGATAACGTAATTGTATTAATTTTTTTGAATATAGTGCTTATTATTTATTTATATCTGTGTATTATAATATTTTAAAGATTTTTCATGGTTACACCTACCATTACTTCGGGTAATGCAAAAAAAAATCAATCATCAAAAGAAAAAAGTTGTTGTTCTAACTCAGCAGGTAGATGAAATAATTAAAAGTAATCGGGGATTTACTATTATTTGAAGAGGTTGTATGGTATACTTATATAAGACTATATATTTTTTGTTGTACATATTTAATCAATATTATTTTATGTTTTTCTAATTAGTCTTTTTATAATAGATACAAATCGGTATTGCACGTTTGATTTATATTTTTGATTAAACTTTTTTTTTAGTAACAAGATACTGATTAATTTAATCAATTAATTACAAATTTCTTTACAAAAGAAAAAATAAATAAAAACGATTATAATAAATTATAAAGAAAATAAGATTGGGTAGATAAAGAGTCCAATTATGAGATAATTGAAAACACTTTCCAGAATCGAATATAGCACTTTGACGTATTTCATACATTATTGTCTGATAGAGGGAAGAACATAATTATTATTAATAATAATTTATTACACTTAAATTAAATGAATAAGTCTAATGAAATGGAACATGCATGTTCGCATGTTCTCAATCTTCAAATAAATGCGTCTTACAAAGATAATATTTTAACTTTATACTTGTTAACACTATTGCCTAGATTTTTAATTTGAGTAGAAGAAAATCATCGATTCGGCGTTTATAATAGTTGTATCATTGATCATTTTACTAACTCGTGAGAACTGTATTTTTTTTTGCTTTGGTAACATGCCATTGAAATTGCCTATTGATTTTGTCCCCTTTTAAGGGTCTTACTACTGTATATCATGTTTTTCTAGTACAATAATATAGTGCATTTTGTGCGATCTAGGTCAGAGTTTAATGGTGCGTTAAGTATTTTAGGAAACGTTGAATTCCTGTTTTTTTATTTTTTTTTTTTATTGGATTATAATTATATTTATTGGGTTCCTACCTACCTATATTAGTGTGTTATAATTGAAAACGAGTAAATAACAATGAAATATAACTTATTTGCGATAGATTAAAAACTAAATATTCTTTATTAGGAGTCAATAATAATCGTTTATAATCATTTTTTATACAAAATATACTCATGTATAAGTAACAAATAAAAGCATTTCTTAAAATGTAATTGAAAGCAACATTTAATGAGTATTATTTTTTACAAATCAATAACTCACAATGAAATTTTTAGAAAGGTGTAATACCTTCATTTTAAATTAATGAACTTTCCATTTTTCGTAACCTGAAGCATTTGCAAAAATTAAAATTAACTACATTTTCTTTGATTGTTTGTCTTTTTACCGAAACCAATCAAATTGACCTTACCAAATCCAAAGCTTAGAACTATTTGATCATAATAATTATAGTTACGATAATTCTTGTTGATAAATCGATCAACTCAGGAATAAAGACGTGATGAATATAGATATAATGTGTGTATATTTAACATGTATATTAATACAAAAATACAATACTAAACTATAACAGAATGGTGAGCGGTATTATGACCTGACTCAGAAAACTGATAGCTCAGATTGTTGGTGGTATTACGATCTGCTTCCAAGTGTCTTGAGTACCCTTAACCGTCTGACGAGCACTTGCCATGGTCTCCCTTATATTATATGATCTTATTAGTAGGAGTGATGGCCGTGGTGGTGGCGACTTTAGTGTACACTGTACAAGGTGGAATTCGGTCTCGTAACATAATTTAGTATTATGGTGGATTCGTCTTCTTTCTCGTGGATATCGAGACTTTTTTCAAAAAGAATCGTCTGACAACACGTTTATAGTTTGATTATTTTAATACTGTGTTCACTACGCGTCTACGATCTTCATCACTGACCACTGATCAATATGCTTATGACATGAATAGCCTAATTAATGATGTCACTTCAACATTCGAAACGTGTGCTGTGTATTATAAATATTTCACCTACAGGTTATATTAATTATTATTTTGATGATAAGTTAAATTTTCATTTTTTAATTGAAAAATATAGTTATGGCCTATTTAAATGTATTTTTATAACATTCTATAGAATGATATAGAATATATAACAATTGAACTAATATTGAACTAACATTTATGCAAATTAAAACCATTACGGTTTTCTTACAAACTTTATAAATTAATAAAGTCTTTAGTTCTTAATTAATCTGAATTTTGTAAACAATAAATAAATTACAAAAACTCCAACTGTAAACAGTTTATTTGGTAACTAAAAATTATTTGTTAAAAGTGATTTTCAAATAATTATAGTCATATTGTTGTGCTTCTATAGAATATTACATTATAATATTATTAACATTTTGTAATATAATTGGTATTATTTGGTATATAATGTGTTATTAAATAAAATGAAGATATTATTAATTATTCACAACAAGACATCCATTGTGTCAAAAACGAGCTTAGAAAGTGATATTAGGAATTACTAAAAATATAATAAACTTCAATTATCCTACATACCTATTATTATGTTATTGACGTCAAATAAATATTAAACGAATTATGAGATATTATTTCTTCAATCCCCCGTCATGTGGATTTATACCTGTCCTGGGTTTTTTTTCAATTTAGTTGCATTTATTGAATAAAATTAATACAATACTTTTGCGTCATAATATATCCTCGCATTATACATCTGTTGTTAAGAAGTTTGCTTGACGTTAATCTTAGATCCGTAAACACCATCAAACCATTTGTTTATATTATTTAATCATTTTTTACATTATATTACCAGAGGTGTATGTTTTAGATATTTTTAGGGAGAGTTGATGTGTGGGAGTATTCCACCCCACTGTGGGTGGACTTTAATTGTTTTTATGTGTTTATGATTAAATATAAGTAATAATAATAACATTTCAAATGAGTATTGAAAAAAAAAAAAAAAAAATAGTAGTTGTGTAGACAAAAAGTAAGTATCTATCTCTCAGTGGCGTATTTGAGTATAATTTTTGAAGGGGGTTAAGGAACTGTTTTTTAAATGTTATTAATTAAATATAAATGTATATTTTGGCATTTCATTTATATAACCAATTGTCATCTATAGAAATATAGTTTACATTTAAAGACAACTAAAATGTTTCACGTTTAATAAATTAATTAAAATGAATTTTATGAACGTCATGCTGTATTTGTATTTGCATTACACGATTTCGATAAATCTGTTTTTAACTTAGACTGTATTAAGAATTTAAATAACTCTTACTACCTCCTTACTCAATCATTCTTGAAGTTCCGCTGAACAAATGATATGATTAAATTGTATAGTCTGAAATATTTATAAAGGTATATTGCTGTTTTATTTGATTCAAGAATCACAAAAAAACCATACTTGTTATAAATATCTCTATTAAGAGTTCCAAAAACGTACGAGAAAAAGTATTGGCAATTTTTATTTCAGTGAATTTAATTTCTGCGGCAACTAAAATAATAAAATAAATAACCCTCTCCTCCCCCTCCTCCCTCCCCCCAAAAAATACAGCTATATGAGCATTAAAATATTTAGTTTTTTATTGATGTTATATTTGTATAGCAAAATCTAGGTGGTGTTTAAGCGGAGTGAACAGGGCGTGAAGTCTCTTAGTACTCGTATATTACAATATATAAATATGTTTTGTTATATTCAATGCAATAGTATAATAGTAAACAGTATTAATTAATTATATTTATATGAAAAGGTGTTTAAACAAAAATAAATACCTACTCATATATATAATAAACATATTACATTGATAAATTAATAAGACAACTACCTACTATATTTTGTTTTAACAAAGTAAATCAATAATTATTGTGATTTACATTGATAAAACGTATTCTATTATTTGAAACAAACGACAATACCTATATTATAATATAGGTACTGTAGTTTATTGTTTAGGACTAAATAATAATTTTCAGAGTATTAAAATATGTTTAATTTCATGATCAATAACTTTCCGTGGTTTACAGTGCATTATGTATATTGTGTGATGTGTTTATTTCGACGTATCAGTGAACCGATAAACTGAGCATAAAAACGGTGCTTTGTGTGTGTGCATAACCGTATGTGTCAAGTAAATTTTAATTTTAATTAATTAATTGTTTTAGGTAAATATCGCATGAAAACGGTCGTTCTCGTATTATGTAAAAGCGCATATATAACTATTGTGGTGAGCCCCAGTACCTAATGTACCAACGCACTTATGCCATATGTGGTAGTTCGCTTCAATGGTTCAAAAAAGTGTGTTCATTCACCGTCTTCCGCTTACGCATTTCTGTGACGTCGGTGTGCGACTAAAATCTAAAGCGGAAATCCTCGGTAAGACACAAAACTTTAGTTTTCTATATTAACGTACATTTTTTCATCAGCATAGTAAGTGTTTTGCACAATAAAATTATATTTTTACAATTATTATACTAGTTATCAAATAATGAAACAACGAACTTATTATGTTGTCACGGTGATTACTTAACTGAACAGCACAATTGCCAATTTTATACCGTTTGCTTAGAAAAACACAACATGATTGCGCCCTTCTCCTTTATTACCTAAAAAAAAGTACTACAAGTTTACTACCAATCGTTTAATTGTTTAAAAAATAATGTACAACTTTTTAATGTTTCAAAATATACAGGGGTAGTAAATTGTTATACCAGCTATTGTAAGTACCAACTATACTTAAACTATAACTGAAGTTTTATTTATTGAGAATAATGTTATATGTGACGAGTAGGTATAAGTGTAGTATGTACTAACAAATACCAACCTAGTGCCTTAAATATGCACAAATGACTAAATCAAAGTTGTATTATGTGGTACTTGTAAAAAATATATTAAATAAATTTGTTTTTTGACCAATCCAATAATTCTTACGTTGGGTGCAGTTGTATTAAATCCAGCACGTGGCATGCACAATATCACGTGATGTTAATTGTACTATTGAAATTAATAATAAAACAAAAAAAAAATTATGATTCGATAGAGACCAGAAAATGGACTCAATGCCACGCGTCATTGGTGACGCCGAACGATAAAAGGGAAACCGTAAATTGAGTATACCCAAGTCAATTGGCGTATAATACTATAATAAAGAATTGTATTTTAATATATTATTTTATAGTAGCTTTGATAGTCAATAGACAAGAGTAACAAGCAGGGCTATAAGGCAGCAGATATTTTGCATTTGTAATATCACTACAATATAGATTGGCTGCCATAGACAAGGTGTCGTCCTGTGTTGGTTCTTGCACACACCTACCCACTTTACCCTCTTAGATATACCTAAGGACCCCGCAGGATAAACGATGGTACTACTATAAAAATAATATTATTTAAAGAATTCTTCAAAATATATTCAAACGTTTCTCTTTTTCATATGCAGTTCAATATATTGCATTAAAATGAAAACGTTCAGTAAAATTATGTCAATAATATTAAAATTGATATTTTATCGGATTATTATTATTTATAATGAATTTTAAAAGTTAAAAAGTTAAGAAGTTAAAATATGTTAAGAACCTACTATAGATTCAATGAATATTGTATGTTTAGTTAAAATGTATTAACACAACCATTTTTAGGATTTAAGGAAAAAGTGATGCATTTTATGCATAAAAAAATGTATACTCATCATGTGAGTTCCGTAGTGTCACGTACTGCTTATAAAACTAGTAGCATCTCGAGAAAGTTATTGCGTATGATAAAAGAGAAACAAACGCTGATATTTTTGTCGAAGTTAACTAGATAGAACGGAAAAATAATGCAAATAAAATATAAGCGGTAGGTGCCTAATACTAAGAATGGTGAAGAGATGCCTAGGTAAAATATAAACATATGTAGGCGCAGTTAAATTATGAGTTATGACTTGAGAGGATGCTATACCCGCATGTGTTGTTTCCGTCTTACAAACGCACATCATATCAAAAACTGTTTTGCGTGAAATAGAACCACTAAAGCTGCTGCAGTCCAAGCTAAGCAACCAAATGTGCACACTATAAACAAGAGAACATTTACTGTGCAACATTGTTTTTATTTTTTCGATATAACAAATACAAGAAAAGTTATTCAAGTTTGAAATAATTAATTTATAAGCAATAAGAACTGTTCTTGTACTTGTGATATCGAAAAAATAAAAACAATGCTGCACAGTAAATGTTCTCTTATAGTGTTAAAATTTGGTTGCTTAGCTTGGACTATAGCTTTAGCGGTTCTATTTCGCACAAAACAGTTTTTGATATGTTATACGTTTGTAAGACGGAGACAACACATATGTGGGTGTAGTGTCCTCTTAATGAGTAATGACTCCGGTAATGACTAATAAACTTGTATAGACTATAGAGTACTATTTACTATACATGTCATAATTCATAAGTAAGTGTAACAAACTATTTTTTGTATGTATAATTTATCCAGATAAAGACAGACTGACTTATACAGTGTTATATTATAGTCATCATGTTTTAAAATATCAGTTGAAATTTTGAATGATAACAATCATGAAGATGAGAAAGGTACCACTTAACTATACGATTTACCAAAGTACTTTCAAGCTTGTTTGTGAAATACGTACACACACCCACAAATTATACGAACAATAAACACTCGAGTCTCACTAAAATAATTATGCTACGTTAATGACATAATACTATGAAAAGTATCATTTAAATAGTACCTATACGTAGATACACACCTATATAGTTGTGGTTACACTTTGGTTAATTAGTTAGCATTAATATGATCAATATTTTAATAACATTATTAATCTATGATTTATATTATTTTAATTAGAAAACAATTAATATGAATATCTTAATAACGGTTATCCAGGAACATAAAATAACTATTATGTTAAAACTATATCTTAGTCATATCCTTAAATATAATCCTATTTAATCCCTTAACATATCTAAGTTACCTTATATTTTTCAATTTGTATTTCAATTTAGTATAAATATTTGTCATGCGAATATCGTATAATATTTAGATTGTATAATAGTCTTAGACTACTTTCTTCATTGATTTTTCTGTATTAATATGTACCTAAATAAAAAAACCAATACAAAAATAACCTTCTTTCACGACCCACTATACATAATATATACCTAAAATATTATATATGATACAGTGTACAGGGCGAATCACCAAGCATGCTCACCCCGGTTTTTTCTTCAATAATGCAGCCATTCAAAATCTGATTTTTTAAATTTCTAAATATACTTACTTTAAGATCATATCTTAAAATTCTTGAATTTTCTTATACTACTTAAGGAGTGTCCTATGGAGATACAAATTTCGGTTTTTCAAATGAGAACACTCCTATAATTAAGTAGTTATTTAGTTATTTTTTCTGAAATATTTGATGCATAAAAATTATAATTCGTTAGTATACGAGTATGTATATGTTGGTAATATGCATCTTTAACAAAAAAACATTTCCAATTTATTAAGTATACCATTAAACTTACCAACAATTAAAAGAAATTTAGCCGTACCAAAAGTATGAAATTTGATTCACATACATAATAATGCTGATCATATGGAAGCGTATACATTTTTAATTACATTTTTTACTTAAATACCTATAACATTCAAACATAAACAAAAAATGTGTATTGAAATAACAAATAACCGGTACAACTTTATGTTTTAAGTAATATAATTTAGTTTTTACTTAATATATATTTTGTAGTAAAACTTTGGGGTAGTGTTGCACAGCAATTCGAGGGATATTTTCGGTTTTTTTTATCCGAGCGCAACTTACTCATCTTTAAATAGTGTAAGGGCAACACTGCAAAATCTCTCAAAATTTATTTTCGTATAAATTGTTCACATTATTATCAGTATTTGGATATAGTTATCGTTGAAATCGGATAAAAAGTACTGGTTTTTATTTTCGATTTTGATAAAATGCACAGTTGGCAGAAGAAAGTTGAACGAATATTTAAAAGTTCATAAGTCGCAAACGGATTCTTCAAATTTAATATTTAAAACTACTTTTTTCAATATGTTTATAAATTGGCTATCTTGAATTTTTTATTTTCTATAGAAAAAAAAATAAAGATAAAAAAGTTTAAAGTTTATATTATACGTGTAGTACGCATGTCTTTTATTTAAAATGAAGAAATAAAATTAAAATATTGATTAGACCACAAATTATATTTTCATTTGTCATTGCTTTCTGTTACACTAGCATTGTATTACAATTTACAAGTACATAACAGTGGCTATAATATTATGTTATATAATTAATAAATAAGTCTTAGTGGAAATGGTTGTTCTTTATCGTGAGAACTTTTATTGTTGATGTTGAGATCTCTGTGCCGATAAAGTTCAGAAAGTACAAAAGTTTTACACCGACATCTGTTGGGCTATTTGTTTGTATTCAACAACAAACGTTTCGGTTGGATTTTTCAGTCGAGTACGAAATAAATTAACATACGAGAGTTGTATATAAGATATTATGGGTGTTTTTAGTTATGATTTGATACAAGTACTATAAACAATTATGCAATTTTTATTTTGTTTTTTTAATTTTCATAATAATTATGTTCACTGAATAGTCTTTGCTTAATCGCATTATAAAAAAAATTAACAGATAATCATATAAGATCATAATATTAAATCATTATAAAGTTTCAATTTTTTAATTCCATTCATAGGTAGGTGCATAGTATAAGTAGACTAATTCCATGATACAAAAATGGCTTCTTTTGATTTATATATTTGAAATAATAAAAAATGTATTGAGCCCTTTTATTCCAAAAGGTTATTTTGATGATACTAAATCTAATGGAAAAAAAGTTTTTGTATTAAATTTGCTTCTAAATTATGATATACTTTTTACATTTATACTTTATTTCAATTTCATTAAATTTTTTTTTAACTTAACATTAATTTCATGAAATAGTTTTGTAAAGCAAGTAATTTATTTTAGTTCTTTCTTTACAATTTTTAAAATGAATATACAGTAGTGGTAAATAATTAAAATGTTAGTTATTAAAACATGAATCCAACAATTTTTATTAAATAATTTTATTGAACATTTCATTAAGTATAAACAGATTATGTTAATACATAATTCATCAAATACTTAAAAATGTATAATACCAATATACATTTATTTGTTTTTATGAGTCTAAAAAGTGTGTTTCCTGAACTACTGAAATCGTTACTTGTATACATATACCTAGTAGGTACTTGTAGCATACTAAGATAATTTATTATTTCAATTATTGTTTCCTTTGTCTTTTTAAATTTAAATAACATTAGGATCATATTATACTGATATAGTACCTACCTATTATAACTTATAACAATTA